TGTGGGGGGGCGGCGGGACGGAGGGTCGCCTGCGGCGGTTGCGTACGGGTACGACCCGGCGGGTACGACCGGGTAGCCGGGTCGTCTTCTCTCGGGAGCTGCCTTCAAACTGGCGGCGTGGTAGCGAGGCCAAGCAAGGTACGCGAGCTTCCTCGGAAGGGGTTTCTGCTGTGGGGAGCTGGTTTTTGAAAAGGGCGTGCAAAAAGTGGCGAGGAGGGGCTATACGAGATTTAAATGGGCTTTTTTTACTCCAGTAGCGGAAGTGAAGATGACCGAAAGTTTGTGTTAGAAACGGTGACAGGCTGAGAGGCGAGACTATCAAAATTGCAGCCGCGGGGAGCTAAGCTCCAAATGAGACCATCGGCCCAGGGGTATTAATGGCCGATTTGGTCTCTTGGCGGCCTTCTGACTTGTAAGCCTTATTTCATCCTCCCGCTCTTGTACACGCTTCGGTTTTTTAAAAACACCGTGCTATTTTCAAATCAGAAATAGGTTAAAAAAATCACCGTGCTTGAGGTATCACGTCAAAATTTAAGCAATGAGGCTTAAATCATTGATAGGTACGTAAGAATTTATGTATTTTAATAGTCTCTACTGTAGCCTTCATTACAGGCAAATAGACATATTTATTCCAAATGATCTAATGATCTGCGCCTCTTTAAACTAGCACGAATTTTGAGGAGGTACGGTTCTTGAGATGTCATGTCATCTGGTATCTTTTCCTTTTTTAAATTTCAACTCCGGTTTCAGTGCTTGATTTCTAAATCAGAAAGGTAGAAGCCGTGAAACTCTTTCTTCTGTCGCCAAGAGAGAGAATATGTGTGGAAACCTCAGCTGTACTAGACATCTCAACCAAACTTACTTTCTTAAATGGCAAAAAGAAGCTTTGTTCCTTTAAAACAAACTGTCCGTTCTTCCTTTTTCCAAATCATATTTTGCTACTTTAAAATAAAAGTCAAATTACAAAAAGGTAATGGGTTAATTTTTAAGATGTTTTGCATGTAAGAATTATACTCTGCTCAAAAGAGAGGGCGGTATAGCCACAATTTAGCTGTCTCTTACAGAGCATGCTAATTTACTGTTTTGTGAGTTTAGTTTTTCTTCTGCCGCAACACTGACATCTTTCTCCATTTTTAACAGAGTATACCTGAAATACCTCCTAAGCCTGGAGAACTGAAAACAGAACTGTTGGGTCTAAAAGCAAGATCAAGCAAAGTTCAAACTTCACAACAGTGAGCAGAATTTACTTACGTTGTGAAAACTAGAACTGTTAAAATATTTGTTCAGCTGTCTCAACTGCAGAAATCCTCATGTGAAATACCATACTCCCTTAATACTTTGTTTCCTTTAAGCAGCGTTACAGGCGGCATTAAAAATAAATGTACGATGAATACTGTTGTTAAAAGTCCAGTCAGTTGTGCGCCAAAACATTTATGATTTCTTAATCTCGACTGCAGTGTAAGTATCCTTCGGGATAAAAGATGTAAACTCAGATTGGCAAGTCTGATGGAATTTGAAACTTTTAAGCTGATTAACAAGTATAGGAAGTTTAGCATATTGAAAAGTCAAGCTTTTGTGGCCACTCATTAGCCTTAACAAGCTCACCTCTTCACCTGTAGTAGAACCCCACTTACCCGTTGGCGTTTCTCCCCTTTTTAAACTGTAACTCGGTATTACTGGACGTAACCCAGAACGTGATACAGTAAGTGATGGCATGTACAAATAAGGAATATTCCTTATTGCAGCACTTCTTGCACTGGACTCTTCCTAATGCTGGCTGGCTGCCCTAACAGCAGTTACATTGGCTTTCTGTCTGTATTACTGAGAGGAAGTCTACTTTGGTCCACTGTAAGGCTGGGGAGGATCTTACAACTTAGTTGTATTAGCTAAAAATAGGGCAAATACATACAGGTTACACTGAAATTATGTATGTTTGTACTCCATTTGGGCATCTTCTTCTGTTTACGGCTGATTTTAATGGCTGTATATACAAAACTCTGAAATAACAAGTGCAGGTTTACCTTTCAGTCCCAAAATAGGATCGCCACAAAACTCTTGCACCAGGAGATACACAAAGTCAACATCCTACAAACGTGGTACGACAGTCCATTTCTGAATGGTATATGCAGTAGAGCTTGTGAAGGTTGGGGCTTGCTTTCCCTTGAGAAAGGTACTGAGACAAGGCACAGGCTTCATCCTCAATTCTCACTCAGGTTTAACTCGGGAAAGAAAACCACAACCTGACAGATTACCCATTAAGGAAACAAAAAAGCTCCCTAACTTCTACTGGCAAAGTACTTAGAGCTCCTGTAATAGCAGGGGGACCTGGAAATAATTACTGAAAGTGCTACTTTTGCATCTGTTCCATCTGTGAAGTTATTTATCTTTGCGTAAGTTGGAGTGGTTTTCCTAGGAAGAAGGGTTCATGGTTCCTCTGCATGGGTATGTGCCTCTGCCCTCGCAGTTTTGCAACTATTGGCTGATGTAGAAAAGCAGCCGAGGGGGGATGAGATCCTCTCCTGCGCTTATGTGCCCATGTGGACGTCCAGGCTGCAGCCTGTACTTAGCATTACTAGATCACAGGCTCTCTATCTCAGATGCCTTTACCAATGAGAGCAGTCATTGACAGAAGGGTCTCAAGTAAATCTCAGGTGTTAAAGCCCAAATGAAATCAATCAATGAGAACATCTTACTAGGTCCAGTTCTGGTGAAACTACTTTTTCCTTCACTGTACCTAAACAAAGCTGAGACTGACAGCCATCTCAGTCAGCATCTTTATCTCGGCATAAGATAAAGTTCACTGAAGAGACAAGGTGGGGCAGTTCAGCAGTATTTTGTTCCTGTTCTAACTAGGGCAGGAATAGCAGTTTTTCAGTTGTCCCTTTAAAGGGCCAGGATTCACCAACCCTTACCCTGTTACTCAGTTTGTCAGAGTGTCACCTCTGTTATGTTGTTGATTTCTGACATGAAAGATGCATTTCTCCCTATTTTCTAAAGGCTTTTCGGATCTGAAGGCTGCAGAGGGCAGTTACTACTACTTATTTGGATTAGATTTCTAAATGTATCCTGCTACTAATGGAAACTGAGCAACAGGGAGCATCTGTTTTACCCCAGCCTTTTCTAGCACTCGGGGAACCGTTCTCATTATTGCCTACCTAGGAACAGCAAAGCTGACAACACACCAGGTTTTGACAGCAGAGGTAACACCCCCAGAATCAGTGCGACTGCAGCACTGAAAGAAATAGCCTCACTATGACTGGGAGACACTTCTTCCACCATCAACACGATTTTACTTCAGAGATGACCCACCCCCCACCCCCCAAAAAAGCAAGCTTACAACCACATTTTGTGCTTATTAATAGCAAACACTTGTCACTCCAGGGTAGAGAAAGCAGCTGGACCACAGCTACATTGCACATGGTATCCTCAGCCGAGGAAGATGAAGCAGCACAAAGCATGACTCTCAAGTGTGCTCTTTATTATTTCTGAATCAGGTATGTCATCCTAAAACCAATCAAGGCATTGAGAACTTCAGCTATGTAACAGAGCAAAGGTTGCTTAAGTCTACAAGTACTTAACAGATTAAGAAAACTGTAGCGAGCAACCTACACTTCCGATACGCCTCTTCGGTTTGTTAGCTGCAGAAGCACTCTTAACCATACAGCAGGCCTGAGCCACGTTCCTGACTCGGGCTGGTCAGATACAGAGGGGTGCATGTTGATGATATACTCAGAAGTGTATCACTAGAAGTGATATTTTAGGAAGTATTAAATCAAAACCTCAGCAGCAGTTGATTGCTACAGAGCACAGAAGTTGCACTGCCACAGTAAGAGGACCATGCCTTAAGAAGAAATGGTGCACCTGCCCTATTCAATAACTTACTAACAAAGGACTGCTATTAAAGCTGCTAATTGCTGGCTGCTGAACTACACTCTAGGGTTAGACCACTCAGCATGCTCTAATGACAAAACGCTCTTATGGTGCATCCAAGATACTACTACAGTGAGCAAAAAAACAAAACAACCCCAAACTCCCTCAAAAAAACAAGACTAAGCTCCCTTTCCTTGAAGCCTCAAACAGCATACTTCAATAAAGCCAACATCTCTGTATAAAACTTAAGTCAGTAACCACACTGATACAGGGCATTTGTAGTCATTGCATGGAAACAGTATTTGGGCAATATAGAAGCCTAGTAAAAGTAAACAGAAAGCAAGTTCTTCAGGTCAGCGTTTAGTGCCTTCGCCTAATTAGAAAGTTTATTTCACTTCAGATCACAACACTCAAACTTCATGAAAGTTCTGTTCACGAAACAAGAATGGTTCTTAAGTAGAGTCACTGTATGGAAGTACTACTCCTGTGTACTTCTTCCAGAGGAAGGCAAAAAAAAAAAAACCACCCTTCAGTGTAAACACTTTCTACCAACACCGTGAAGATGTTTCAAAGTAGAGGCACTAGTGAAAAAATGTAGTGCTTTATCCAAACACCACATAAAGCTAATATTTACACAATTTAGCATCAACAGATTTAGCTTGAGTTAGATTAAGTATTTACAGTGCCTTGCCATACTAAAGAGGCATAGAACAAGAGTGAAAGTTTAGGAACAACAGCATTAAGGAACAAGTGTAACACACAAGAGCTTCCACCTTTAAAAAAAAAAACGTAGAAAGCAGGACTGCTGTAACTACAAAAGTTAAAGGTAAGGTTACCAAATACCACGGAGGATGGTATAAGCTCACAGGCAGTGAGCCACTTCTGGTTGTTGTTCACAACTTTAGTGAAAGGATTTTTTTTTTTCTTTTTGCTCATCTCAGCTGTAAAAGCTACCACTGCCTACTCTGTACAGTAGAGTCAAGTCAGATATAGTCCCGTGCAAGCTGGCAGAACTTCAGCTGCAATGCTATTTTTAAATACCCCATCTCATCTTTACTATGTCAGTAGATACATAACTCCTTGAATACTTATTTCAACTAGCAAGTTCACTACAGCTCTCAGATACCAGGTGTATGTTGGCTAAATAGCACAGCAGGTGTGTTAACACAAACCCCAACCATAGGCATACACTAGACAGTCGTGGCTGCGCCAGTGGGAAAGGCATGAGTACTGCAGACTGCCTGTTGTACATAGGACCTGAACACTGAAGACAATCTCTTTGTTTCTTTGTGCTCGCCCACAAGATGAGCTTACTATGTAAAATTTAGAGTTAGTGGTGTTTGGGAACATTTTATTTTGTACATGACAAGATTTTACACCAAGTCAGTTAAATAATACAAATTTACATTCATGAGGAATGTTTTTAGAAAAGTGAACTTAAAAAAAATTCCTCCTTTACCCTTAAACCCCATACCATCCCTCAACATTTTACAGTGGAAAAAAACCAAAACAATCTAATTCACATTCCCTCCTAACCCCCCAACACAGGACGGTAGTTGAGTGCAGCTTACAGTTCATCTTTCACATCTGTGGATTCCTGTGGAGACAAACAGAATCATAATGTTACTTTTTGAAAGTAGAAAAGGTTACAAGAGCTGTCCCAGAAGAACTGAACCTAAGTATCCATCAAGACATCATTAAAACCGCAGACATTAGCCAAGCGAAGGCTGACTTCACATAACAGTTGAACTGTTTAGAGGTAGTGGTGTTGTCTGTAGCATTGTTACAAGTCTGTATTGTAACCATTTGAAACGACACTTGCCAATTCATTGATGTTATGGCCCACAAGCTGTGGAAATCCAACAGATAACATTAGGTTGACTGCAGAGAATTTTCTGCTGTTTTCTTGCCATAGGGCACTCTGTTACAATCTCTCAAGCTTAATTTAGCTCCAACTTCGAACACATCTAAGCATTTTCTTCTTACAATATAGTTTGATAAGGAATGAAGTGTCATTTGTGCTGCAGTTTTCCACCCTCCAAGAAAAGCTTGGAAAAACCTCACACTAAAAACTAGTGTCATGAATAAAATAAATAAATATAAAATAAAATAAATACTGGTAAGAAAAGAGTCGAACTTGAGACCTTACCTTCTGTGTTTCACTGTCTTCAGCATCAGCATCCACCTCCTCTTCATCTTGCTCTGCCTCCTCAGCTGCATCTTCAGGCTCTTCAAGTTCCTCCTCCACCTGTAGGAAGGTCACAAGCAATTTGCTTTATTTGCTTAGGATGTTTACTAGTTGTGGACTAGCTAAATACAGGCTACGAAAGTACTCACTATCAGTTCCTAACATTTGCCCCAAGCTACCTGCAGGAGAATGCAACTTCTGTTTAGCATTGACACACTATCATGCCTCCTCCAGCAAGATACCCAGCGTAAGTTCTTGCACAGCATTATGAGAACCCGTATTACTTATACCCACTTATGTATTTCTCCATTAATGAGATGGGCACATGTGCCTTTGGCCCCTAATTTACTCCCATAGAACCACCACTCGATTAAGGGTGGGACAATACTTGAGAAGCATGAGAGCACAGAATCCCAAGCAACTGGAAAGAAGAGTGAAGGGAGGACATAAGCACGACATACAGACTCATCAGTTTCCCACCCAGGTACTTGAATTGGGCTCCTGGTGGCCCACCTAAGTGTAGGAAGCTGGATACACTTCATTTTATGCAAGTCTATCAAGTATCTGCTTTAAGATGTAGCAGCAATAAGTCAATTATCAGCCCCCAGTTGAAGCCAAACTAACCTTTGCATCCAGGTCAATGTTTAAACTTAAACGAAGCATCCTTTCTATTCTGTCTCCATATTCTTTAGTGTCTGGTAACATATATCCCGATCTCAAAGTTGCAGTTTCAAACAATACCACTGCAAGATCTGAAACTGTTTTGTCATCTTCATTTTCCTAATGTGGAAGTGCATTAAAAAATACCAAACAGAACTGTTAACTAGGTTGTATGCAGCCAAGCAGTCAATATTTCACTACTGTTATTTGTTTACCTTGACTCGCCTCAGCATGTCCTTGATCAGTGGATGCCTGGGGTTAATTTCAAACGTTTTCTTTTGGCTAGCATAGTAACTGAAAAGAACAGAAATTACATCACTACATTTTGAAGTACAGGACCCAGCTACATCTTTAAACCAGTGAATACTGATTAAAGCCACAGTAACAAGTATATTCCTCCTCCTGCCCCACTTTTAATACTAGGCTTAACTCTAAAAAGCATTCAGGTTACTGAGACAGTTCATCTTCTCTTGTTACCAAGTGAGAGAGCGCAAATGCCACTGATGAGTCTTGCTCACCAGGCAGTTTTACAATCTGGGCTTTGAAACAACAATGTAAGACTATGATGGAGACCGCGACTTGGTTATAGATGACCTTAAAAATATGAAGGATCATCTGAACCAGAGGGAAGCTTGGTGTGCCCACACCAAGCAAGGGAGGCCATCAACTACATTTCATGTCTGCTGCTACATAACTGAAAGCTTACTTTGTAGATATATCCTTCCCAGTTTGGTAAGCTTGAGCCTTCATGATTCTTTCCATGTTACCAGACCATCCGTACTGACTAGCCACAAGAGCACATGGAGACTGAGTTAAACGTTGAGATAGCACAGCTTTTTCAATCTGTAGAAAAAAAAAGCCTTAATGTTAGCTCACAGAGCCAATAGCTTATACGGGGAGTAAAGTAAGTAATTCTGAAATTTCCTGTCACTTCAGTATTTTCTGAAGGCTCCAAGATGACGTTCTAACTCATTATCTTCCTGAAATAAAGTTATTGTCTATGCTCAAAGAATCTGCAAGGTATGTTGTAGCAAGTACAACAGCATTTACAAATAAACATTACATATAGCATAACATTTTACCTTGTCTTTTAGAGCTTTGTCTTTCATCCAATTTAAGAGTGGTTCAAATTCCTTTTCCAAGGCCTCCCGACTCTCCTTAGACTTTTCACTTTCTTCAAACTTAACTCCTTCTTTCGCTACATTCTGAAACCTCTTGCCATCAAACTCTGGCAGAGCCTGAATACAGTATTCATCCACAGGTTCAGTCAGATAGATCACTTCATAGCCCTTTTTCAGAAGACGCTCAACAAATGGTGAGGACTCAGCCTAAGATGACAAAACAGATCAGATGCCGGTTTAATTGCATTGATACCAGCAGATACTGAAACCTGTGCAACTGTTTGACAAGTGTCAGCACAAGGAAAACTGAACTGCAGTAGTAACATAAGCACGGAGTCTCCACATTTACAACAAACACACAGCTCACAATGTTTATGGTACTACTTTAACTAGGAGCCATAATATTTTTCCCCTTCCCTCTTTCTTCCATGCTCACATACCTCCTTTCTGCTGGCACCTGCCATGAAATAAATTTTGTCTTGCTTCTCTTTCATTCTTTCCACATACTGGTCAAGGCTTGTAAGGTTACTTTCGTGATGAGAAGACTGGAAGCGAAGAAGTTTAGCCAGTCGTGTACGATTGGAGTGATCCTCAATAACTCCAAGCTTTACATTAGTACCAAACTCTTTCCAGAATGTGTCATTGTATTTTTCTTCTGCAATTTTCTTGATCATATCAAGAGTTTTGCGAACAAGTTTCTTTCTGATCACCTAAAAAAAGCAGCAATACCAAGTTAGAACAGTAAGGACTTGGAAGAACCCTCAATTCAACCCCCACTGCAAAGGATGGATTCAAGACACTTAGTGTCCCTGACTTGAAGTGAACAGAGGTAGTCTGAAGACAGCAATGCGTGGGTTTCCTACGCTTTAATTTCACACTCCTTATATGAAGTAAAATTGATCAGGCTATTATTCTTCTAAATCTTGCTACTGTCATGTGTTTACAATGAAGGAATTTAAGATCAGCTAGCTTACCTTTAACAATTTATGCTGCTGAAGTGTTTCACGAGATACATTCAAAGGAAGATCATCAGAATCCACCTAATTGAGGGAAAAAAACTTAAGTATAGCTAACAGTATTTGAAGATAAAAAAAAACAAAATGCAAGTAAGACTTGTAATACTTACAACACCCTTAACGAAGTTAAGGTATTTGGGCATCATGTCATGGAAATCATCAGTGATGAACACTCTTCGAACATACAACTGTATTACAAGAGGAAACAGCAGCCAGGTTATGTTTGTTTGTTGTCTGGGTTTTTTTGACAGGAATCCATACCCACACACTTGCTTGTCCTACCTTAATGAAATCACTTTTTTTGGATCCATATTCATCAAACAGGCCACGTGGAGCAGAATTAGGAACAAACAAGATAGATTTGAAAGTTACTTCCCCTTCGGCAGTGAAGTGGATGTAAGCCATTGGGTCATCGTGTTCCTGTGAAGAGAGAACTCTTTTAATTGACATGGGGAAAACTATTGGTGAGATAATACATTTCCAGTAATAACATGAGTTTCCCAAGTAAATGCAATTATATTACAAATAACTATCTAACCATGCTTTGTTAGAATCTATTACGGAGACAGAAGTCCCAAATTCAGCTGAGTTACTCACATAGAAGTAACCTGCCTTGAGACCTATTAGTTTTGTTGGGTTTTTTGTGTTTTTTTCCACAAGCCAACCACCAAAAAGTTACCAACAGCACAGCAACCAATACGGTATCATCACAGCACAGTTAAGAGACTCCCAAGTAACACATTATGCTGTATTTGCACATAAAGACAATGTTGTTTCTAGAAACATATCTTCCTCTTTCTTCCACCATGTACAACACAAGCACCACTCTCAGACTAAATAAAAATTTCCCTGTCAACATTTAAACACATCAGTAAGCTCCATATGAACTGGAACAGATGACTTCTCAAACCCAGGCCACTCAACACTTGGGTGGCATACCTTCTCTATGGAAAAAGAGATTAACTCCTGAGTGAGATGCTACACCTTCCTAGGCACTCTGCAATTCAGTCTGTCTACTGACAGCAATTAATTAATTAATTCTTCAGAAATGGCCCATCCTATAAACACTCAAGTTCTGTTTACACAGCAAGAGATACTACAGCAAACCTCTTGCTTTGGAACAATCTTCAGGCTCAGAGCTTACCTTGGAAAAGGTTTTGTAAAAAGCTTTGTATTCATCTTCTTCAACTTCTTTAGATGGTCTCTGCCAGATTGGTTTTATGTCATTCATGAGCTCCCAATCCCAGACAGTCTTTTCAACCTAGGTATGTAAACACCACAGTATAATAAAGACTCATTCTTTACTTCAGGTTAAGTCAGTTAAAGACACTCCACTGAAGCCAAGTCATAAAATAGCATGTCAAAAATTCATGCTTTCTAATTTACCAAATAAATTATGCAATGGCCTGGATAGTCTCATTCAAGCGTACAAATTAGCGTAACACAGAGGAACAAAACTTCAGTCTACACTACAGTGTGTCCTATGTCCCTTTAACACATTCACCGAGTATCAGTATTTCCGTTCTACTACCATTCTGAAAAAAGCTTTCCAGCAGAGTATACTCAATTTAAACTACTCAACAATGTCAGACTACTGAAGTCCACTACCATTTCAAGCAGTTCACTTGTATTTAGAATTAGTTCTGGGACCACTGCCTCATCACAAGGCTATTGTCAGTCATTTGCCTGATTTCAACCAAGTCTGTTTTGTTGACAATCTTCTTTCCTTGACAAGATGTCTAACTGCACTTAAACAGGATTGCTGTTTGAAAGCACACACACACACTACTGAAGTGCACCTCTGGAAGACTGCCTACGAAAATTGCTGAACTATCTGACAGGAGTTACAAAACCCCAAGTCTGACAAAGCTTACCTTCTTAGTTTTTGGTTTCTTTTCTTCCTCCTCCTCTTCAACTGCAGCTTCATCATCATCTGTTTCTTCTTTCTCCTTTGCTTCCTCCTCTTCAATGGGTTCTTCAACAGTCTCTGTCTAAAGAGACAACTGAAAGTGGGGACTTGGACTGCTTGGCTTCTTACCAGGTATCTTCTAGTATTCTCTCAAACAGCTTAATCTCTCAGAGCACTAGTTTAACTTTTGTTATTTGCCTATCGCAAGCATTTCTCTATAGATAGCTATGGTTTTTCAGTTGCATTTTTCATGAATACATGCTTTTTCAATACACTGGGAGGTCATTGTACTCAAATTTAAGTTTTTCCATAGCTTTACACATAATGCTAGTCAGAGACTTGGGCGATTTTAATTCAGTGCTACACCAAGAAAACAGCAGCAGAACAGGCCTAAAAGTTAAGACACTGCCTTATTTTCAGGACACCTAACCGCAGCCCTGCTTGAGACCTTACCAAAGCTTCCAGCTACCAAACAAAGCCAATGGAAAAAAAGATCTTTCTTAGTAATTAGCAGAGTCTTGCTCCTTTGGTAAAGTTCTTTCAGTCAGAATAAAACCAAGTTCCTTGAAAGTTTGTGATTTTAGCAACACACTAACTTTTGGAGAGCAAGTAACCAGTAAAATACTAGCCAGAAAAGTCAGGAATGGAAGAATTTTAGAAATTAGGTAAGTAGAAGTTCTATAGTATGCCCTCATCCTTCCTGAAAGATCTGGCCAGACAGTTTTCACAACCAAAGCTCATACTGTGCAATGCTCAGTTAAATATACTTACCTTGCTGCTCCACACATATATGGGGAAGTTTATGAACTGTGAGTATTTCTTTACTAGATTTTTAACAGTATCCAGCTCAAGATAATCAGATGCTTCCTCCTTCAAGACAAGGCTAAAGAAAATAAAAAAACCCTTCAATCAAAGGGATTGACAAGTATTTTAAAATAGTTTTACAGGAGGAGATGCATTTGTCTACTGTTGCAGCTATAGCGATTCAAATTTATGCAATTAAGCTTTTACTAGTTCAGCTACAAATATATCTTAAAAAATACAATCCCTACTAAACTGCTCCAATGAGAAGAAACACAATTTTCAACAATTGGGGCACAACAGGATATCCAGAAGTCTAAATGAAAACCCCAAATACTGATACTTATCAGGACCTTGATGCACTCTCACTGGCTTTACTTGGAACTAGAGCACTGAGATGAACTTTTTCATACCAAGTGCCTTCTTCAGCAAGAAGTCCTCTAAACCCAGGTCAAATAAATTTATGTGCTTGTGAAAGCGATGAAAATAGGACTGTCAAACTACCTCTAGTTTGAGATTTGCATCAGACCAGTCTCACTGGTATATAAACAGCAGCTAGTTTCCAAGAGGAAGCTCTACAGCCCATGTACAGGTTTCGATGGGCCACAATGGTGTTGAGGACTGAATGAATTTGCTGAACTGTCTGGAATTACTTGCCAACAGTTAGTTGTCAAGATGCTCACAGCTTTCTTAATTCATCTAATGGAATGTGAAGCAAACTACATTATCACTATCAATCATTATTTTGGATGTGGTTAATAGTTTGCAATTTTCTATTAAACTGAAAAAAGCTGTATTACAAGAACCAAACAATAAATGAGTCACCATGCTAAAGTCATCCACATATGCCAACGAGTAAAGTGTACCCACACAACTTTTTTTTCTTTTAAACCCAAAGAAACTTAATACTTACGTTATGGTTGTGCCACGTCCTAAAGTGTTTCCTCTTGGGTCATCAATCACAGAGAATTCATTTGAATCTGACTCCCAAATGTGTTGAGTATCATTGTTGTGTTTTGATGTGACAATAACTCTGTCTGCTACTAAGAAAGCAGAATAAAAGCCAACACCAAACTGGCCGATTAACTCAGATGTTGACTGGCTATCATCCTGCATTTCAGTCATCTTGTTTAAGAATTCACTTGTACCAGACTTTGCAATGGTACCCAGGTTTTTAACTAACTCCTCTTTTGTCATGCCAATACCCGTATCTGTAACATGAAGCATGTTCTTCTCTTTATCACACTGAAAAAAAAGAGAAAGGTGCAGTTTGACTTCACTTTGAATCTTAACACATAATACACTGCCACAGAAAAGTGGTAAGTAGAATAGCAGCTATTCAAATTCAAACATGCCTGGCTACAACAAATTGAATTTGCAGTAACTATAGAAGTGAGAAATACCTACCTTCAAAATATTTCAATGCTTCAGTTACTCTTTATAAAATCAGAAGTGTATTTTCACCACTAAAAGAAGAGTAGTTTTTGATAAAGCTAATTGCAAAGGTCCTGATGTGATCCTAGTTTGTATTTGCATCAGTATTAAGCCAAAAATCTAGATTTAATGATACACTATCTTTTTTTTTTTACATTCCTCCCACCCCTCCGCCATAGGAGATGATGATACCTAACACTTCTTACCTTGATTTTGACTGTAAGTTCCTCATTACCAGCAAGAGCATTTTCATCAGTTAAAGATATTAACCGTATCTTATCTAAAGCATCCGAAGCATTTGAAATAAGTTCCCTCAGGAAAATCTAAAATAGAAACCAATAGTCAGGAATTCCAGAACACACACAAACAGTTCTAACATGTTCTACTGATAAAGGCACTAACCTCTTTATTTTTATATAAAGAATTGATAATAAGTTTCATCATTCTGTTCACTTCTGCTTGAAATGCAAACTTCTCAGATTTTTCTCTGATTTCTTTGATCTGGGATGCATTTAGGCCATCTAGCTGGATAGCTTCTTCCTCTCTGTTAGGACAATGAAAACCTGTCAAGAGTCTTCTCCCCATACAGTATCACTAATTTTATCATCTAGCAACAGCAATAACAGTCTAGTTAGAACAACAGTAAGATCCTTAATCACTGACACAGCCCCAAAGTTACATGATCAAATGAGATATGTGCAAAAGTAGCTATCCTCAACTGCATAACCTTAATCTAAAACTTGAGTGAAAATCCATATTTGCAAGTAAGGCTTTTTTCCTAAAAAAAAAAAATTAAGGGAAGAATGTATGTATGTTAAAACCACTGTAATCCTCAGCATGTGGTATACCTCACAGGAGTTGAAGCGATTCATAGGCATAGAGGTATTTCATCAGTAGGCACTAAACTGACACCATTTACCACATGCAAGAGTAAACCCCTATTAACTGTTTTCTATACAACTACTAATATTAGAAAAAACAAGTTGAATATTTCTGAATCCAAGTTCTCAGGCTCACTTCTACTTAGAAGGAAAAAATAGCCTTTTCCAGAAATATTTTATTTCTCCCAGCTGACTAGATCTCTCTTTTGAATGGTGTTCCTCCCCTACTTCTGAGGTTTTAAGCATGACTGATGCTCTAACCGACCGTTCAAAAGCAAGAGAAAGCCTTAACGTTTCAGAACTAACTTACCCAGAACCCCAGGTACTAACCTCTGAACAACTTCATCATCTGTTCGAGACCCTTCTCTGCTTTTACCCAAGTCATCTTCCACGGTCCCATCCACATCCACCTCATCAGCTGTAACGGATACTGGGAAAACAAGGAATCCAACGGTCTCAGCCTGATCCCCGCTACGCGCTACCGAAGTTCTCCGCTCTCCCCTCCCCACGGTTTTAGGCTCCGTTCTGCTCCTCCACCCCCCTCCCCGAGTAAAGCTCAGCCCAACCGGAGACATCAGAGACGGGGGAAGGGAACGGACCCCCCCCCGCTCC